GGGGCGCTGAAAGGAGCGAGGAGTACAATGGGGTCCGCCTGCTGGTCTTCGAGGGGGGGGGGGGGGGTAGATGCGCGGCGGCTGACAACCGCGTGCTCGGTCTGTGGCGCCCCCAGAGGACTATTGCAGCTGAATGCTCCACTTTCGGAAACAAACTCGCGGCCGTCAGAAATGTGAGGAACGTCTCCGAGCGCGGGCGCGCCCTCAGCAGCGCCCCCAATTATCCCCGTGGCAATAATGCCAGGAGGGGCGCGCTTCGGGTCGCATCTGCAGCCCCCGCACCGACGCTGCCCCAATGGCGCTGATAGGAGCGAGGAGCAGCCAGGAGGACGATCCGCCTATGACGAGGAGGGGGAAGGACCGGCACGCCGTGGCAGACAACCACATGTTCAGTCTGAAGCCCCCCCAGAGGACTGTTGCAGCTGGCTGTCTATTTTGCGAGGAACGTCTCCGAGCGCGGGCGCGCTCTCTGCAGCGCTGCCATCTATCGCCGCGATGCTGTCTCCAGGAGGGGGCGCTGTCGAACGCCTGTCGGGCGCCCGCCGCACTGCTGCCCCAAGGGCGCTGAAAGGGGTAAGGGGCCAAGGGGGTGTCCGCCTGTCCTGTCGCATTGCCGGACCTGTCCGCAGAATTTCGCGCCCGCCAGGATTGTCAGGATACGGCGAGACACAGCGTGTCTGCCAGGGGTGCCAGGGTAACGACAAACGGTCGCACTGTTGGTGTGTATCGAAGAGCACCAAGCTGGGGCACCCCCTCCTGCACGACAAAAGGTCGCACATCCAGGGTGATAGGGAGGAAGGAGCCTACGATGGTGTCAGAGTGGCGGCAGAAGGCCGCGATCACTAGAGAATCGGAAGTCCTGGCGCCCGCCAGCACCCGCGGCGCCCGCGGCGCCCGCAGCGCCCACGGCGCCCGCGGCTCTGGCGGCGAAGGCGGCGCAGGCGGCGCCAGCAGCGCACGCTGCGCCCGCGGCGCCGCGGCGCCCGTGACGCCCGCGGCGCCCGCAGCGCCCGCGGCGCCCGCGGCGCCCGTGGCGCGCGACGCGCGCGGCGCCCGAGGCACCCGCGACGCCCGCGGCGCAGGCGGCGCCCGCGGCGCCCGCGGCGCCTGCGGCGCCCGCCGCACCCGCGGCGCCGGCGGCGCGGCGGCGCACGTGGCGCCCACGGCGCGCGCGGCGCCCGCGGCGCCCGCGGCGCCATCGGCGCCCGCGGCGCCCGCGGCGCCCGTGGCGCCAGCAGCACTTGCGGCGCCGGCGGCGGAGGCGGCCGCTCACACCGCAGCCGCCGCCGCGACGCGGGCCTCCATCCCACGGGCCGGGGCGCGCACCTGAGACAGGGGCGGGCTCGAGCCCAGACGCCTTGAGCCAAGGGGGTTACGGAGCTGGCGGGGATACTTTTTTTGATCTGCGGCTCCAAGGACGATTCCAGAGAGCGGGTCGAAACAAGCTTGGGGCAGCAAACAAGATAATTACCAGCGGGCCAAAAGCCAACGCCGGAATGCACATGCGAGGAACAAAATGAACCTCATTAAGCCGCTCCAAAGCAGCAGCCAACGACTAGCAGCGGGGCGTCGCACAGTGGCGCCAGCACCCGGCAGACCGGACGGCGAAGGGCAGGGCACAGCGGGCAGCTGCAACCCTGGCACGCCCGCCCGTGAAAGTGCAACGAAGGCGAGCAGAATGGGGGCAAGGCCTCACTCACGGAGCACCTCATGTGCTCGAAGCTGGCATCACAGAACCAGGCATCAGCGGACTTGACGTGAATCGAGTAGAAACACCAATGCACCAGGGGGGAACGCCACGTGGGCCAGCACGTTATCACCAGCCGTCGGCTGTGTACTGCCGGTGGGCGAAAGACGGGGCGCCAGACCGGTGAACACGTCCCCGCCAGACTGCGCCCCAGGTGCAGGAAGCCGGTGTGGGCCGTCTTGCCAGTGCCACGATGAGTGCACCCTATTGCGTGACGTAGCCAGCGGAAGGCGCCTGCCTGGCGGGGGGGAAACGCCACAGGGCAAGGTCACCAGTCGTCGGATGTGCGTCGTGTGGAGCGTATGGGGCGGGCGTTAGGCCGGCGGCCCCAACCATCCAAAGTGAGTGCCCGAGCGGGCGAGACGGGCCCATGTCCGTGTGAACAAAGCCAAAGTGAACCGCGGGCAGGAATTATTGCAGCCAATACCACACGGGCTAAGAACCCACGATGCACCGTGGGAATCTAGACGCAGTGTTGTGAGAGGTGCACCTCACCCCCAGGAAATGACACGAGGGTGCTGGTGGGGATACTTTTTTGATTTGCGGCCCGCAAGGAGAAGTCCAGAGGGCGGTATGACCGAGGCTGGGGCGCAGCGCAAGATAATTGGCGCGAGAACGCGCGAAATGCACCTGCAAAACAAATTAGGAAGAGGAGCGGCCACAATTGGGCAACCACCGAACAGAGGCCGGACCCGCAGGTGGGGCCGGACCGGAACCCATCCGGAGGGCACGCAGACCCAAGCGAGAGGCGGCCACGGGAGGGCAGACAGAATACAGGCTGGACCCGCAGGTGGAGTACCGGCCGGCATCCAAAGAAAAGGAGCGGAGCCGGGGGGCGCGAGCGAGATGCGAGCGGAGACGGGGTAGAAAAAGAGCGCAACGGGGTGGAAGCGCGGCGGACTCACTCACGTGGCACCCAGTGCGTGAACGTCACCGAGAACGCCGATCACTCACCAAGCCACTGATGGGGGGGGAGGCCAGTAGGCACCCGTCAAGACTTGAAGACTGGTGGGGATATGCGAGGCTGGTATGACCGAGGCTGGTGGGGATACACAAGGAGAAGTCCAGAGGGCGGTATGACCGAGGCTGGTGGGGATACGCGAAGCGTGAAGAATTCCAAATTTGAAACGGCTGTTTTCTAACAGGGCACTTCCCCCAGTGAAAATGCGTCCTTTTCCTCCGTTTCCTCCTCCTCACCCTTCTCTTTCCCTCCCCCCCTCCTCCCTGGAAGTCGCGGACGCCCCTGGAAGTTTCTGGAAGTCCCTGGCGGCCTCCAGAAGCCTCCAAAGGCCTCCAGGGGCACACGACAAGCGGAAAGCATGCAGGAACCTCGATCGTCGCTCCTCGTTCCTCGTTCCTCGATCCTCCTCCTCCTCCTCCTCCTCCTCCTCCTCTTCTTCCTTTCCTCCTCTTCCTCTCCAGCCGTTTCCTTCTAAATAACTCCTCCGTGTCGCACCCCGAGACGCGTCGGTACGGTGGGCCGCACGTTTCGCCGCAGTCTTCTTCGCTATTCGTGATCCTTGCGCTGGAAATTTGGCAATAGTTTCACGGATGGAGGGCGGGTGGTTTTCAAAATGTTGCTCTCGCATTGGCGCCGCGCACATTCGCCTTAAAAGCTTGCCAGAGCTTCACGGATGGAGTGCGGCCCGTTTTCACAATGTGGCTCTCGCCTAAGCGCCGCGCGCGTTCGTCACAAACGTTTACTTCACGGACGGAGGGCGGTTCATGTTTTCAAACATGCAAGAAGTTCACGGATGGTGGGCGGGTGGTTATCAAAGTGTGCCTCTGGCCTTGGCGCCGCGCGCGTTCGTCTTGAAAGCTTGCAAGAATTTCACGGATGGATGCCCATTCGTTTTCAAAATGTGGCTCTCGCCTTAACGCCGCGCACATTCGTTTTGAGAGTTCACAACAGTTTCAAGGAGTCCTATGGTCGACGTCCCACGAACGGTATTTTGGCACGATGGGCTGCCAGGGCGCAACAGTTACGTAGATTCGCGGCATTAGAATCCCAGCCACGGCATTCTGGTACGATTCAAGATCGCTGGGGCACAGCAGTCACGTTGATTCGCGGCGTTGATGTCCCCGGAATGGTGTTCTGGTGGTGTTCGGATTTCTATGACGGTTGTCTTCCAACGCGGCACTTCCTTCAGTGAAAATGAACCCTTGCAGGGGCTATGTACGGGGAATTTGGAAAGATAGTTTCTTGCAACATCGTTGCTAAATGTTGGTTTTGCACCGGTCCTCCTCCTCCTCCTCCTCCTCCTCCTGCTCCTCCTCCTCCTCCTCCTCCTCCTCCTCCCCCTCCTCCTCCTCCTCCTCCTCCTCCTCCTCCTCCTCCTCCTCCTCCTCCTCCTCCCTGTTCCTTATATGTAACTCTTGCCTGTCGCACCCTGAGGCTGGTCGAATGGGCGGGCGGGGTGTTTCGCCGCAGACTTCCCCACCACTTATGACCCTGATGCTTCATCGTTGATAACAGTTTCACGGATGGGAGAAGGTGGTTTTCAAAATGTGGCTCTCGCCTTAGCGCCGCGCGCATTCGTTTATTTCAACATGAAAAAGTTTCACGGATTGAAGGCGGGCGGATTTCAAAATGTGGTCCTCGCCCTATCGCCGCGCACATTCGCTAAAAAAACTGCAAGAGTTTCACGGGTTGAGGGCGGGCAATGTTCAACATATGGCTCTCGCCATAGCGCCGTACACATAAGTTGTAGAAAATTGCAAGAACTCACGGAAATAGGTCAGCTCGTTTTCAAGACTTGGCTTTCGCCTTTGTCTCGGGTGCATTCGTTGTAAAATCTTACGCAAGCTTCACGGATTGACGGCGGTTCGTCTTCAAAATGTAGCTCTCGCCTTCGCGCCGCGTCTAATAGTTTTCAACACTTGCCAAAGCTCCACTGATTCGAATGGTTAGCGCATCAGAAATAATATTTTGGAGCGGTTCAGGATTGTCCCGGCGCAGCACTTGCGTGGATTCCCGATGTTGAAGTCCCAGGAATGGTGTTCTGGCACCACTCAGGTTCGCCAAGACGTAGTTCATCCGCGGCGTTGCAATCCTGAGAATGGTACTTTGGCGCGGCTCAAAATGTTCACACGGTTTTCCCAATGGGGCAATTCACTCTGTGGAAATGACCCTTTTTAGGGGCCTATGAAGAGGGATCTTGGAGGGAGGGTGTACGTCAACATCGATAGCGAGCCTTGGGTTTACTCTGGTCCTCCTCCTCCTCCTCCTCCTATTCCCTTTTCTTCGCTGCTCCTTGCCACTGGCCCCCTTCTGGACGTAGGTTCCACGGACCGACATCTGTCGCTCGACGTTCATCAAAACGCCAAGCTTGCTGTCCCACGCTGTTGGCGGCTTGAGTTGCCCAGCCTCGTGGGGGAGAGCGGTCGGCGGGCATCGTCGTCATCGTCGTCGTCATGATCGTCGTCGTCCTCCTCCTCCCCTCGTCCTCGTCCGCCTCCTCCTCTTCCGCCTCCTCTTCCTCCACCTCCTCCTCCGCTCATTGTGGCTCTTCCTCCTCCATCTCCTCCTCCTCCTCCTCCTGTTCCTCCTCCTCCTTCTTCTCGTCCTCCTCCCCCCTCTCCCTTAAGAGTCTCCTCTCCTCCTCCTCCCCTCCCTCCTCCTCCTCCTCCTCCTCCTCCTCCTCCTCCTCCTCCTCCTCCTCCCTTTCCTCCTTTTCCTCCTCCTCCTCCTCTTTCTCGTTCTCTTTCTGTTTCTCCTCCTCCTCCTCTTCCCGTTTCCTCGTCCGTTCGCCTCCTCCGCCGTTTCACTATCCTCCTTCTCTTCTTCCTAGGAGCAGACCTGCGAGGGAGCCCCGTTCTGGCACCAAGGCCCTGACAGCATGAAGAGGGGTAGGGCCGCCAACTCGGGGCGCGGCCTTGAATCGTCTGGCCAGGTGTCCCGACTCGGAGGAATCAGGCCACGAGCGAGCTTGTCCAGCGTTTTCTTGCCAGCGGTCATCGGGCGCTGGTCGGACGCCCCCAACGCGTGGGAACGCGTGCGCCCCGAACCGCCACACACCTTATACCACCCGGCTTCACGCACGTACCGAAGCCGATGGGATCCGCGGATATGGTGGGGAAAACCTTTGCACGGAGAGGCCAGCCACTCGTTTCTGGACAGATGGCGGGACGGTGCCGTCCGACATGCAGGGCAGAAAGGTGACCCCCGCCTCGGAACGCCGAGCGAGTGATAGCGTGACGGGCGTCAAGACTAGCTGCACTTCGTTGGCGTTGGCGCCCTCTGCGGGGGGCAGCGGTATCAGCGGGCGCGGGGGTTCCTGTGGCACGGGCGCCTGCGTGCCTGACCAGGACCTCGGCCGGGCCTGTCTCGAACATCTGGTCTGACACCTTCCTGGCCAAGACATCAACGCGAGCAACCTCGGCCAGTGAGTGACCCTGTCGCCAGCGGCCTCATTCTATTTGAATTCAGCTTCTGCAGCACTTCGACCTAGACCAGCCTCCGTTAGGTGGCTCTTGGCTCTTGCTTTTCCTGGATTGGATGTCTTCTGGACTGGCGCTGCACTCACGCCAAAAACGGGCCCAGGCAGCAGCGTGCAGCGGTGGGACCTGACCAGGTCCGTCATTGATGGCATGTAGCACATCAGCGCAACCAGCTACAAAAACAGCTGGGCCCGAAGTGTGTGTCATGGCCTGCCTGACGCCTTCGAGCTCAGGAAGCCGCGCCGTCTGGTGTCTGCCAAGAAGCGGGCCCCAAGCTTCCCCTCGGATGGATCCCTGGGGCCACACAACAACACCCCAACCGTATCTACGGAGCCTCGGGCCACTCGTGGGGTCACCGCCACTGCCGTCCGCACCGACATGTGCACCGGGGGGAGGGGAAGTCTCTGATACGGGTATACGTATCCAGCCCGTTCGAAGGCCCACACGGGCCACTCGTCTATGTGCGGGTATATCCACATCATGGGTAGTAGGCTTCGATGCCAGAAGCATGCCCGTTCTTCATGCTCTGAAAACACCTGGGGCAGCGGGTCGAAGGCGGCACGCTCTGAAGGGTCCAAAGGGGTGCACGTCCACTGTTGCTGCAGGATGGTCTCGGCTTGCAAGGGAAACGCACGTGCAGCAACACACCTGGAGCATTTTTGTCGGTCGGGCTCGTCTGGGTGGCGCCGGTCTCCTGGCCACAGCGCACCTGTGGCGATCATCTAGAGCAGAGCTGCATGGTCATGCCCTTGCGTGCGCCTGTGTAGGCGCACGGACCTCATGAGCGCGGTGAACGGTGAGGCCAACCCCGTACTCGAGGCCCTTGCAACACAAATGATGAGCAGCAACAGTTATCCAGATCTGTTGCGCGAAAGAGCCCTCGACCTCTGCTAGAACACGTTTGGGCCAACCAGGTCCAGGTCCCGATACCGATTCCAACTAGAATACGGTTCGTTCAGGAGGGGCCTCGTCGGGAACCAAGTAGCATGTGTATCCATATGAGTCCTGCCACTGACAATGGAGCTTGGGATCCTAGCCGTTTTGGATAAGAGTGGCCACCAGGGCAGCAATGGGCCCTTCAACTTTGCAGCTCAGGGGTGCTGCTGCTGGGATCGTCTCAACGCGCTTGGTCCAGGCTGCGGTGAAGGCGACCCTCTCGCGCATGAGGGCGGGGAGGATGTAGAACCATGTCTTGACCAGATCGTAGCGTGTAACAAAAACAGAGGATCGCCTGTCTTGCCAGGGCCGGGCCTCAATGCTAGTGTCGCACATGCTCCTGTTCGCTGTTCCCAAATAAGTGCAGCCATCTTTACCGCAACTGTTTGGGCGGTGTCGGCGAGGCCCCTTGGACCATTATCCCCCAAGAGGCTTGTGGCTGCACCCCCTATGAGGTTGACTTTGCTGGCTTGCTTGTTGGCTTACATCAATCGCTTCACCCGCCATGCGCTGGCGAATGCTTTCCTCAGGCGTCCTCGTGCAACTATTGTCGAGCATCGGTGAGAGGCACAATCCAAGCTGAAGTCCCGCGCCTTGGTAGCCACTTGCACCGTGATTCTGGCCTGTCGGAACGCTCGGTGAATGCCGCTCACGAGTATGGTACTGCTGCCTAGAAGCTGCGACTTCCCAGAAAGGCGGAGACCTCTGGCCTTCATGTGACTGACTAGTTTAGCCCCTTGGGTGGTGAGTCGATGTATGATGGCTTTGGAGCCCCTGGTGGATAACAATATGTCATCGACCCACGTGCTGATATCCATTGGCCTGTACCGTGCGCGCGCTGCAGCAAGCATGTCGTGCAAGTAGGCGCGCGTCCAGCTAACACTCTCTGCGTGCAACCTTGGAGTATGGAACGCTCAGCTGCGATGAGCCCCGACGCTTCTCAGCCCACCGTGATGACCTGGTCTGCGGTGTGTACGCACATGCCCAGGATGAATGCCAATTTCATTGAGCAGTATCTGCCAAGGCCAGGCGCACGTTTGCTTGAGGTCCTGGATGAGGGCAACATGCTCGTCCTGGGCTTCTTCGGGCCTCTTCGGGCCTCCTCCTCCTCTCCATTTGCATCCTCCGCCAGTTCACTGTCTTCCTCCTCCTACTCCCCCCCTCCTCCTCTTCCTCCTCCCGCTCCTCCTCCTCCTCCTCCTCCTCCTCCTCCTCCTCCTCCTCCTCCTCCTCCTCCTCCTCCTCCGACGACGACGACGACGACGACGACGACGACGACGACGACGACGACGACGACGACTACGAAATCCACGAGTGACGGGCACGAGCACAAGCACGACCAGGACCACGACCACGACCACGACCACGGCGGCAGCGGCGACACTCTGGGCCTTCAGGTCCTTTAATGCGCCCGCGCGGTTCGCGATGCCCTTTCTGGAGGCGTCTTGCACCTGGTGCCGGTCAAGCGGGTGGGGTGGGGCAGGAGATGCCTTTGGAGAAGTCTTGAACCTGGTGCCGGCCGAGCAGGGGGGGCGGTAGGAGTACCTTTCCTCCTCCTCCTCCTCCTCCTCCCTCCTCCTCCTCCTCCTCCTCCTCCTCCTCCTCCTCCTCCTCCTCCTCTCCCATCCTCCGCCAGTTCACTCTCCTCCTTCTCCTCCCTCCTTTTCCTCCTTTTCCTCCTCCTCCTCCTCCTCCTCCTCCTCCTCTTCCTCCTCCTCCTCCTCCTCATCCTCTTCCTCTCCTCCTCGTATTCCTCCTCTTCCTCTCCTCCTCCTTCTCCTCCTGCTCCTCCTCCTCATCCTCTTCCTCCTCCGCCTCCTCCTCCTCCTCCGCCTCCTCCTCCCCTACCTCCCTACATCACTACCTCCCTGCCCCCTTGCCTACCTGCCCGCCTACATCCAGACCCCCCACCGCTCTACCTCCCTACCTTGCTACCTCCCTACCGCCCCGCCCATCCTCCCTCCTTTCCTCCATCCTTCCATCCCTCGTCGTCGTCGTCCTCCTCCTCCTCCTGCTCGTCTTCCTGCTCCTCCTCCCCCCCTCCTCCTCCTCTTCCTAGTCGTCCTCCTCATCCTCCTCCTCTCCTTCTCCTCCTCCTCCTCTCTTCCTCCTCCCCCTCCTCCTCCTCATCATCATCCACCTCCACCTCCTCCTCCTCCTCCTCCTCCTGCTTCCTCTCTGCCTTTCCATATTAAGATTCCTCTTGTTACTTATATTTTCACTCCTACTTCAACTTCTACTCCTACACCTACTCATACTCATAGTCATCTCATCCTCCTCCTCTTCCTCCTTTGCCTCCTCCTCCTCCTCTTCCTCCTCCTCCTCCTCCTCATCATCATCATCATCATCATCATCAGCATCATCATCATCATCATCCACCTCGTGCTCATCTTTTTCCAACTCCTCCTGTTCATCATCCTTCTGCTACTGTTTCTTCTACTTATGTGCCGCCTCCGCCTCCGCCTCCTCCTCCTCCTCCTCGTCCTTCTTCCCGTCCAACCTCTATGTCCCTACCATCCCGACCTCCATCTATCCCTCCTCGTCCTCCTCCTCCTCCTCCTCGTCCTCCTCCTCCTCCTCCTCCACCTCGTCTTCCTTCTCCTCCTCCTCGTCCTCCTCCTTTTTCCTCCTCCTCCTCCTCGTCCTCCTCCTCATCCTCCTCCTCCTCCTCCTCCTCCTCCTCCTCCTCCTCCTCCTCTCCTCCTCCTCCTCCTCCTCCTACTCGTCCTCCTCATCCTCCTCCTCATCCTTCTCCTCCTCCTCCTCCTCCTCCTCCTTCTTCCTCCTCCTCTTCCTCTCCCCTCATCCTCCTCCTCATCATCCACCTCCACCTCCTCCTCCTCCTTCTCTGCCTTTCCATATGTATATTCCTCTTGTTACTTATATGTTCACTCCTACTTCAACTTCTACTCCTACACCTACTCATACTCATAGTCATCCCCTCCTCCTCCTCCTCTTCCTCCTTTGCATGCTCCTCCTCCTCCTCCTCCTCTTCCTCCTCCTCCTCCTCCTCCTCATCAACATCATCAGCATCAGCATCAGCATCAGCATCAGCATCAGCATCAACATCAGCATCAGCATCAGCATCAGCATCATCAGCATCATCATCATCATCATCATCATCATCATCATCATCATCATCACCATCATCATCATCCACCTCGTGCTTATCCTTTTCCAACTCCTCCTGTTCATCATCCTTCTGTTACTGTTTCTTCTACTTATGTGCCGCCTCCGCCTCCGCCTCCTCCTCCTCATCCTCCTCCTCGTCCTCCTTCCTGTCCAACCTCTATGTCCCTACCATCCCGACCTCCATCCGTCCCTCCTCGTCCTCCTCCTCATCCTCCTCCTCGTCCTCCTCCTCCTCCTCCTCCTCCACCTCGTCTTCCTTCTCCTCCTCCTCGTCCTCCTCCTTTTCCTACTCCTCCTCCTCCTCGTCCTTCTCCTCCTCCTCCTCGTCCTCCTCCTCCTCGTCCTCCTCCTCCTCCTCCTCCTCCTCCTCCTCCTCCCCCTTACCTTCATACCTCCGTACCTCCATACTTCCTTGTTTCCTTAGCTCCCCCCCTACCCCTCCCCCCATTATCCTCCCTCTCTCCATCCCTCCCTCTCCTGAAAATATGGTAGGACTCTTTTTTTGTCCCTGGAAGCGAATAGAAGTTGACCCAACCAATTGCGGTCAGCGACTAACATGCAACACTGGACTTCCCAAACCACGTTCTCTGCAATATCCATAACAGATCCAATTCACCCAGTCGGAACGCTATAATCTAATACACACCCCCATCGGCTGACGAGCCGACTGTGGAAACGGTCGAGCTACACGAAGCAAACGCAACAGGGTAACGGACGAATCCCACTAGCCCTCTGGGCGTCGGTGGTTTAAGGAGTTTCCTCTTCCACCCCTCCTGCTTCCCCTTCGGGGAAGGGTTTATCACTGTTCCCTATTAATAAGCACCCTCTCCCCCAGGCGACTGGGGGCCAACCAGGGTCCATGACACCCCCCCTCCCACCATTCCTTGTAAAAAACAATGCAAACCACACTTTGCCTCCAAATTCAGACCATGCGCAGCCAACCCGATGCGCGCCCCACACCATCCCTGTCATAAAACAATACATGGTACACTTGGCGGCGGCGGCGGCGGCGGCTGCGGCGGCGGCGGCGGCGGCGGTGGCGGTGGCGGCAGCGGCTGCGGCGGCGGTTTGGCAGCGGGGGGCGGCGGCGGGGGCGGCGGGCGGCGGCGGCGGCGGCGCGCGGCGGTGGCGGCAACGGCTGCGCGGCGGCGGCGGCGGCGGCGGCGGCGGCGGCGGCGGCAGGCGCGGCGGCGGGCAGCGGCGGCGGCGGCGGCGGCGGCGGGCGGAGGCGGCGGCGGCGGCGGCGGCGGATTGGCCCCCAGTAGCTGCCCATCCAAAGACGACTGCTGAATATGCTCAGGCTCGGGCCAGACTCGGGTATTACGTATGTGTTGGGAGGGCGGGTGGGAGTGAACGAGACGGCTTGCGGGCGGGGAGGGGGTCTTGACCCCTCCCCCTACCCCCTCCCCTGGACCTGGACAGGGGGGTCCGCGAGGTGTCGGAACGTCCAAAACGGCCTCGGCGAGGAAACCAAACACATTGGTGTTACTACGGTTTGGGCCCCATGTTGGCCTCCTGATGGGGGGGGAATTAAGCTCCCCTCTTGTTTGATCGATATCCTCCCAGATGGCCCCCAAAAGCGCCCAGGAGGTCCCAAGATGGCCCCATGATGGCCCCAAGAGGCCCCCAAGAGGCCTCCAGGAGGCCCCCAAGAAACCCCCAAGAGGCCCCAAGAGACCCCCCAGAGACACCCAAGATGCTCCAAGAGGCCTCGGCGAGAATGCCAAGTCATTGATTTTACGAAGGTTGTAGCGACATGTTGGCCGCTTGGGGGGGGCACTGGTTAAGATGACTCCAAGGGCGCCTGGGGGGCCCAAAATGACGTCCAAGATGGCTCAAGATATCCCAAGATGTCTCATACTGGTTTCCTCTGTGTGCTGCCCACTTCCCTGATCGAGGCAAGTCCTCTCGGCATCGTTTCTAGATGGGCTGGTGGGGATTCGAGAAGCGTCAGCAATTCGAAACAACTGGCTGGCATAACGAAGCCAGGACTCCACCCTGGCAAGCCAAGCTTTAGAATTAAATAATTCAAGATTTGACTGGTAGTTCGCGTGCACGTCTAGTGTAGTTCACTTGTAGTTAAAGCGTAGCCCAAGTGTGCTCAAGCGCAGTCAAGTGCAAGCCCTTTAGTTCTAGAGCAGTGGAAGCGTAGTTCAAGCGTGTTGTAGGCGTGGTTCAAGTGCAATACAAGCGTTGCTCAAGTGTTGCTCAAGCGTAGCGCCAATATTTCCAAGTGCAATTTGGCTGCAACGCGTGGCGAGACGCACCGCAGCACCACGCGGCACCGCGCGGCGCACAGGGGCAATAAACATATTCCGATGCCGGCAGCGCTGCCTCGCAGCCCCGCGAGAAACCAACGCACTGCGCGGCACAACGCGGCGCCGCGAGAAACAACGCGCGCGATGTTGGAACGTCGTGTGCGCGGCCTGTGTGAGCACGAGTAATTCATGACACGCGCGCGTGCTCATCGCTATTTATGTAATACAAACGGCAATACGCCGCTGCTCCGCAAAGGTGCCGCATCGCACTGTCGCGCGCCAGCGCATAGAGCGGGGCACCCCATTCCCATCTCGCATTCGGCGGCAACGGTTTCCGCGCAACCATCCGAATGGAAACCACTTCGAAATTGCCCGCGCACTCGAGCCAAGTTTGCCCGAGCACGCGCCCCTCGTTCAGTCGAGGGTGAAGTTCGGCCGCCCAGAAGTCCTATCAACCACGGTTCTACGCGTGGCACCACGCGGCGCGGATATGTAAACAAGGTCGCAGATGGCACGCGCAGCAGCGACTGCAGTTGCTATATGTGAAGCCGCAGGTGTTCCCCAGCGCTTCGGTGATAATACTGCCATGTTTGGCGCAGTCCCATTACTATGATGGGCGCAGGTGCCAATTCGAAGCATTGCTGGCGCACGGAGAAGGCGACTACGATCTCGGCGTAAGCGTACAATGGTTTCCTAACGAGCGATACGCTATGTTATGTGTCCCAAAACACCGAGTCATGCAACGTGTTTAACAGCTGTATAGGTTTGACATCGCATAGACGAACACCTTGGTCTCAATTGATCCTGAGCTGAAGAACTCTGGTACAGCGGCTTGCGACAAACAAAGCGGGTGTGTATTGGATTCAGCAAACACCCTGTAGCTGGTGCTAGCTCATGCCCCCCATTACCAAGATGCTGCCTGGCCCCTCGCATATGCACGTACATGCTGCCCCTGCTGACATATTCATTGAAGGCGTCTGCAGGATTTCAGGACTTCCTACTTTGATCACTTCGATGCCCCCCCTCGTCTTACCTTCTCTTGTAAACAGAGCTGGCAGACT